GTCCTCTTTTGTGTGAAAATTACACAAGTGAGTCCTACTTATGATAAATATTACTTTTTTTAACGCAACCAGATAAGTAAAACAGGCATGGTCTCTTTTTAGCCTTCTGTGTCGCGTTCACTTAGCAGAGGTGGTTTCAGCACCAGACAGACATAGGCACTTAACACTGATGTTCCGGCTGCCGATACCCCTAGCAACGACGACGTTGACTTAAAAATATGCAACTGTTACTTCTGCCATCTCTTGGACATTGAATTTCATTAGTGCCGTAGTTGCCATACCTTCTGACTTTAGGTTCTGACTGGAAGTGCATTGCCATCAAGAACGAATCCAACACCGGAAACAATCAGTGCACCGCTATCAGACCTTCGTGTGGACATATGTGACATTGAAGTTAATCTAAGATGCATTTAATGAGGACTTATTTAAATGCTCCCTGCTCATCGCTTTTTTTCAACATGCCTGCAATATCTTGCCATTTTACCGTAAGTGGCCAGAGCGTGACAGCTTCCTCTTATTGTTTAAACATTATTGTTTTTGCTCAATACATTGTGCTGCAAATAAAGTTTAAATATGATTGTCACTGGGCCTCGAAGGTGAAGGTACCGAAGATGGATAAGGCAAAGAAGAGGGATAGGAGGAAGAGCTACGCCATTTACATCTAGTGGGTGCTCCGTCGGATGCGTCTCGACACCGGCATCTCATTGAAGTTGATGTCCATCATAAACTTGTTTGCGAACGACATCTTTGAACGGATTGCTGGTGAGTCGAGCCGCTCGGCTCACTACAATAAGACAACAATCACCAGCAGAGAGATCCAGACTGTTGTGCTTCTGCTGCTCCCAGGTGAATTGGCAAACACGAGGTGTCGGAGGGCACCAAGGCTGTGAAGAAGTACACAGGCTCCAAGTAATGAAAATATGGTTCATTGTGCTACTCTACGCAAGTCCAGCATTTCATCATCGTAGCAGCGAACCAGTGAACGCATACACGATCCTTTTGAAGGCCATCAAATGAGATTGTTGCAATTGCAGTCCCTCCTTTGGAAGTCTTCGATACGTGTTGTATTAGTCGTAGCAGTAGTACCAGTTGCTGTTGCTGTTTTAGCTGTCGTAGTATTCGACAAAGTAGTAGTTCTGGTCTATAAAGCAGCGGCGGATGTCGGTGTAGAGGAAGAATTTTGGGTGGTTGGAAGCGGCGTGAGGATGTTAAGGGTTGCTTGGCGCTAAAGGTTTGTGATGGCTGCCTATGTTGCCTAATACCAGGGAGGAGAGCAGTCGAGAATTAAGGTGACCAATGATGGGATAGGACGTAGGAGTGGATGGATCGCATTCGATTTATCTAAGAGGCAAAGACGCTTGCAATAATTTTAGTATTCTTTGCACACACACCATGCACAACACGCGCCTAGATTTGGAACTGCATTACATGACATGACAGGCAATGGCATGTGAGGCATTTGCACGCTGTTGGGAATGCCAGGCGCCATTAGAAAGCTAAGTGTTGACTGTGAAAACTAACGATGACTGCAGCAAGCTTGTAAGTCAAAATGCATTCTCAGTCAATATAGTCATAGTTAGAAGCAGCAGAAACTAACAAAAATCGAATGAGACGATAAAGGCAAGAAAGTACATGTCTGTGCGTTCACAGTCCTCCACATATCTTGTATCAGAGGGTCAACCGAATTATCAACCTCCATTTACTGTCTATCGATTAATTCGCGAATATTTGATTTAGTCAGGTCCTAGAGCCTGTTTAAATGCCGGTGTCATAGGCGTTACGTGTAAAGTCCTGCGAAAATCGCGGCTTTAGTTTGAGTCAATAACTCATCGCCAAATTTCAATGGTTGCCGCTTTCGTAATTAATACAGATTTCAGTTTGTGACCTGAGAAGCTAGCACATTATTTTGAGGCTAGCATATTACACTGAGTGACTAAATGAAACGGTTTTACTAGAAATTTCTATTGCTAACACAGCAACTGTCATTTTCACCTCATCTCACAGTTGACACCCAAGACTCTCGTATAAATGCCAACGCTGGCGTTTGCCTGGGATAAAGACTAGCGACGTCGACAAAGAAGCACAGATGAAGAAAAGTCTTTCAACAAAGCCTCCGAATTATAATAGAGACAGCAATGTAGAAGACCCAAATTTCACAGTTTTTGTCAGTGGTGAGTAGGCCCTCTCTGCGTGTTTTTATTTTCCAGTTCAATTCGACGCAGTCGCAGTAATTCTGTCTACGTTGAGATGCCGTGACCAACTTAGCAAAAAAGCACCCTTAATTTGTTGGCTTGAATATTTGATTGTAGATGTGTCTGATTAGGGTACATTAATTGACAAAACCCAAACGTTTGTGCTTTATGCTGCTTGATATGAAGCATTCCAATAGTTACTTTAATGTATAGTCTTTACGTAGATCTTGTATTAGTTGATTCGTTGCGTCTGAGCCAATGTATTTTCGTAAACCGAAAATCACTTCCATTTTTGATGGACATAAGATTGGTTCAAAAATCATACCTAATCTCTATCTACATAAACTCACAGGGCCTTAATTAATGTCCTCCTTGCTAATCACCGAGTGTGCATCACTGCATGGTAGATATGCACCCATTGAGAAAATATTGAGGGTACCACGACACATAAATTCTGACCCGGTGAGCTCCACTCGATTCAAGTTCTATTACCTTGCCTAATCCAATTCACGTCGAATCAAATGCTCAGGCGATATGTGGATGCTAATTGTGAAAACAGAGCAGCTGACGGTAATCAATCAAAAATCCAACTAGGCAGCAATTTGAGCAGACGTCATTGTTAAGTACGGTGATATCTGAATTATTGTGCTTAAAAAAGTAAGAGAATAAAACAAAAACTGCGTTTTTATCACGAGATCCTTATGACTTATTTTGGCACTGTCAATATTTCACTGTGATTTATGGAATAACATCGGTTTTTTTTTTAATGTTATAAGCAGACAGTAAACCGACAAGATATGTTTGCTTTTCTCTTGCAGCTGGAGCCTCAGCTCAACAGCAGCAAAACCCTCAGCCTCAGTGGTGCGTTCAACACAATCAGATGTTGGACAAATTGAAGATCATCCACAATTTGTTAATTGAGAGGCTGCACGCGACATCGGGTGGTGAAGACGCAGATGCCATTCGTGCTGCATTGCAAACCTGTAAGGACGCTGACAATGCACTTCGATTTGCTGTCTTCGAACTCGCAGCAGCCGACACCACCTAGTGACAAATAATTGGTGCCATTGTGGATACATTTTCTTAGCTTTGACCTTTATTCGCAGGTCACAAGATATTGTTTTTACCCTGAATAACAGCAATCATTACCATTTTGAAATTTTTATTCTCTCCATCTCTTTTAATTGGACTAACGAATCACATTTAATAAGTTGTTGCACAAGGGCACATTAAATTAATTTGTTGTTTAATTTCTGGCTGTTAATGTTTCGAGGCACTAGTTTAATCCACTAAACTACTGTGATTAAAAAATATCTACGTTAGTAGGAAGATGAAAATGCTTTAAAACAGAGCGTTTCTCCTATTGGTCAACTCAGATGAGGGCGATTAAATGTTCAACATGGTGCATTAATTAATACAAACTGAGTAATGTGGAATAGGTACATTTTTAGAGACAAGGTTATATAGACTTCTTCAGACGGTGTACAATGATGTTTTAACCAAATAACAGGAGAATGGTCAAAAGAAGTAGCTTCTACACATGATGTCTGCTGATTTGATAAATGAATTTATTTGGCCGAAATCTCTGTTGCTAATTTTCCTGCTGCAGTTGCCATTATGGACTCAATAATTTTATATGAAAATCCTTTGTTTAATGAAATGCAACTTAACCGTTTCTAAATCTTAAAAATTGCTAATAATATAGAAATTCAATCAAGTATATCCATGTTTTTACACTTAATATTTTTAACCAAAATACTGGTGTTACGGTAGGTATTGTTTGTTATTCTTAAGTTAGCTCGTGTTTAAAATTTTGCAAGCAAATAAACCCAAGTAAATTGATGCCATCACATGGTCGAATTGTAGCATTGATCTGTAGCTGACATAGAGGGCAGTGTTAGAAACAATCTAATTGCGCCTGACGGTCAAGTTACTGCTTTTTTACACAATTGCTTACATAAGTCAGCTCCGAAACCCGAATTAATCGTGACATATCTCACTAGTTGTCATTATGACCTCAGTATTGATTCAACTGTGCCCAGATCACAAAATATGGGAAAGTGCATTTTTGGGTGTCATACTTCACGTTCATTATCCCCATTCCCCACTTCATCAACTGGTTGTCTGATTCCTTTCTACTTCGACCAATAAGTAGCGGTGGTGAAAAACACTTCTTGAGTGAATGGCGGTAGAATTTTCGGTAATTTCGATTCGTTTTATCCTGTTGACGGAAATATTAGGAGCCACACCAGGGCCAACGATCTACGTAGCTTTTCCTCCTAGCAAATTGAATGGACTAACCTTTTCTTTACCACAGAAGTTCTGAATTGTAGGTCGTAAGTGTAGTGTGGGCGATTTAAAGCCATAAAATGAATTAACACGAATGATTGAGCAAATTGAGTAGTCGTCGTCGGTCGGTTAATTCATATTGGCATCTTGCAAGTGCACTCATGAGGAATTATTTCCTAAGCAGCAGACAAAACAGAATATTCGAGACTTCAAAGTGACTTCGAACTGTTTAAGTTTAAAGCGGACGTATCATTTTTAAAAATGTATCGATTCAAATATATCAACCTAATGGAGATTCACAAAAGCGGGATAATTTACTTGTGAGTGCCACCTTTAACCCCCTCATCCCAGTTCGTCAGATTCATCTGATTACGTTTGTCTTGGATAAAGAGCAACTGCGGTGTTAAACAAATTTCCCCAACTTCATTTTTGTGAAGATTTCAGCTAATTATCACACGTCGACAGGCTTAATACGTGACCTCACATATGTTATTTAATTGTAAATTATGTAAAATTCTGGTTACTTCTGATGGTACATTGACTATCACACCGACGAAGTTGCTCATGATGTGCATTTTCGTCTGCCCAGCCTCGAACACATTCTAGTGCCTGTGCGTCAATGTACCCTCGATAAAACTTAAGCAATTTTGAGGGTTGAATATTTACACATCTGTCCATCGATGCAGCAAACGAACTACTAGCAAGCTTTCTTGATTGTTTGATTCACCCAGTAAAGTTTTGATTATGTCTACTCACGTTTTGTTAGTAAAATTGGCCCCGTACCAGGTCCAACTTAGGAATCATACACAAATTTGGCGCGGCCTTTCTCATGGACAGTGACAAAGTAGAGTATAATTTCACCATTATCACTAATCACTAACAATCTGTTGTTGCGTTAACATTGGATATTAAAATTAAAATGCTTTACGTTTTATTATATTTTGCTACTTTGATTTACTTGATTTGCTTTGTTCACGCCTACCTACCTGTGTAGGCAATGGAAATTATCGACAAGAGCAAATGTATTCAGAATTTTGAATACTTGTAGCATCATTTACCCAAAAACGGTATATACTAAATATTTTTATATTACAATTCGATGTTATCTGCAGTTAAAGGCACTCACTGATTTCCCTAACAAAAAACAACGAGCCTGCAAATTGCAAAAGCTTTAAATTAATAGAATAAAGAGCATACACGTGATACTGGTAAAACGATAATCGCTCAAGCGTGCATGATATACAGGGCGCTAAATGGGTTGGCGCTAGCAGAGTTCTCGCGTATACTTCAATGAGCGTTGTCAGTGTACAGGGAAGCGTATATGTGACGACAAACCATTTCCACGGTACTGCGATCCAAGGTGATGTTGTGCTTTGCCAGCAACCGTCGAAAGGTTTTGAACACGTTGGCCAAGTTCTCGTTCATACCTTCAAAGGAGAACTCAGGCAGAGGATTTTGGCTTTGGTTCGCAGGAGCTGCAGTATCGGCACACCGGAAATCGACGGGCACTGAAAGAAGACACGAATTGTTGTAACAAAGTCAGATGAGCGTGCTAAAGGTAAAGAACTGCGACTTACCAGGAAGTACTCTGCAATACTGATGGTCTCGCAGATGCGGTGGAACAGAAGCCGTTTGTGGTTCGATTGTACTTGGAACGCAATCTGTCAGGCGAAATTTTCGAACCATTTCCTCCTCCAACTTTGCCAATTGGGATTCAAAAGTATGTGGCTGGACGTCTACCAAGTGAAGCTTTTGCCTCATCTCCTGCTCCAACTTCGTTATTTCGGAAGCTGTAGACGTCTGCAAAGCCGTCACATTTTCATAAGTCAAAGCACCTAACGCTGGCTGAGTTTGCATCCCGGTCGCATCGTTTTTATCTAAGAGGCAAAGATGCTTGCGATGATTTTTTTAAGTACTCATTAGCCTTACATTATGCATATCACGCGACTAATGTTGGAACTGCATTACAAGACATCACAGGCAATGATATGTGTGGCATTTCCACGCTGCTGTTTGTCTTTTTACATAAGGTATTATGTAGTCGATTGGAAAATACAGCGCTGATCAAAAAAACTGCAGATGCTAACATCAGGTAAGCAATTGGGTTAAAATACGTTCTCAGAAATTAATTGCATTAAGAAAAACAGCAGAAATGCGCAAAAATCAATTGAGACGTTGAAGAAAAAAACATACACTCACCAAAGGACCTGTCCATGCGTTCAGAGTCCTCCACATCGATGGACATATTTTGTATCAGAGAATCAACCGAAGTGTCAACCTCCATTTGCTGTCCTTCGCGTAATTCGAGAATATTTCCTAGTTACATATCCTAAAGCCTGTTTATATACCGATGTCATAGGTGTTACGTGTAAAGACGAGGCGAAAATCACAGCTTTAGTTTGAGTCGATAACTCATCGCCAAATTTCATTGGCTGCCGCTTTTGTAAGCCGATTATCAAGTTTACGCAATCACGCGTAAACACATGTCACATGACCTTCCATTGAGTGACACCCAAAAACTATCGTAAAAGTTGCTGTAGTGTGCGTCATAAAACATCATGGGCACTGACATGCATTGTATTTGCATGCTGTTAGCTATGTCTTTTTGCACAACTGTGAAAATGCCAAATTAAATAGCACATCGTTGATAGCACAAACCACGGATTCCAGCAACTAGCTAAGTAAGTCAAAATACGTTCTCAGAAAATACTGTACTTATCAAATTAAATATTTTAGGGTAGTCCACATTTAGTCCATACGGACGTAGCTCCTTTGTTAACGAAAAATTAACTAATGCAGGAATCGTGTCAGATACGTTTACTCAAGAGATTGTTGTTAGACAGGCCATAAGAGCGCGACGTGTGGCGAACCTGCATGAGTCTCCAAGCAGTCGCTGAGTGAGTCAGTCCACTTGAAGCTCTAACTCCTTCAACTCCTGATGGAGCGAGTGAGAATTTTGAATTTTGATCAAAATCAAAATCCGTAATGATGGTGCCAAATGACAATCCTAAAACCCACATTTTTTTTAAATTTTTGCTAATAGTGTCCTGTCACTTGTCCAAAAATGAAATGTTTCAAACGCTAATAAAGTGGCAAGCACCGACCCTTAGAAAGTTCATTTCAGTGTATGCTGGCAGTTTCGTCAATGCAAAAGCTTGAAACCGAAAGTAATTGTAAAGCAAAAAAAAGTTTCAATTTATTTACTTAAAGTGTCCGAAACCATATAAACCGCCCTAACGTGCCAGTGAGTGCACGGCCCAAATCTATCCTGTTAAATATGACAATCAATTTACCCATTTATGTGTTGATTTCTAAAGCATTTTTAAAAAGTTCATAGAACCAGGGCAAATGCACTTATTCTGGCGTCGAGATTTAATGGCTGAAGTTAGCATTCACACACGGATTTTCCATCTTAACTGTGGGGTTAGTTGAAAATAAAACGAACAAATTGCAATAATGACGATGACTCCACATTCCTTCATCTGTTAACAGACAGCAGTCACATTTTCACAGACAAGAAAGTCGACAACAGTTACGCCTGATTTATAGGTGTTAAGTTATTCAAGGTCATGTCAATCGCTGTAGGCGTGAGTGCGAGAATGTCACAATTGTCTGATAACAGAAACCAATGAAAGACAAGGTTGAGTTATGGATCCAATCAGTCACGGCCGTTATGCCCAAAGTTGTCACCTGCACCTGTTTGAACGGGACACGCATATATAAGCTAGAGCAGTTGACCAGAGAAGG